GGAGTGACTCAATAAAGTCCTGGTAGGTTGTCAAAGGTATCTGGAGCCATGCTGACTGCAGTGCATCCCACGGCTGCTGGAGGGTGCGTGGGGGACGATCCATAGAGCAAACATGACAATCGAGGTGGTCCTATAGATGCTCAGTTGGGTTCAAGTCTGGGGAATTAGGGGGACAGGGTAGTACTTGGAAGTCTTGGTCATGCTCTTCCAACCAAAGTCGAACATTTCTAGCCATGTAACATGTCGCATTGTCTTGCTGGAAGATCCTGTCTGCCCCAGGAAAGACAATCAGCATGTATGGGTGTACGTGATCTACAAGGATGGATTCATACCCAAATCGGTTGAGAGTGCCTTTCACATGGATGAGTGGACCCAGAGAATTCCATGAAAACATTCCCCAGACCATAAAGCTGCCACCACCAGCTTGTGGACATGAAGTGGACATAATAATGTGACTCGACTGTGTATATGGACTTTGCAGGGGTTCCTGACCGGATTAGGGAAGCAAATTTTGGCAAATTCTTTTGACTGATGACCAACTGTCATTAGTCTGTGATAACCATCAAGCCTGAGATCAACAGCCAGAGTTGGGTGGAATATAAGTAAGAAGGTATACTGCGGTATTTAAAACGATAACGGTATTTCTGAATCATGACATGCCAAATTTCTATTCCTTGTCTGAATGGCTAAATAAAAGCATTCCACCCATTTATATTTTAGAGAGGCTCACTGACTGGTGATGTGGGAGCTCACGAATTCATATCAGTATCAATTTATTTGAAAATGTATTTAACCAGATTGCGTTTTAATTTTCATGGTCATCCCATCAGGGCGGGGCCGACAGCACGCTCAGCGAAAAAGGCATCATCTAAAAACATTACGGCCAAAGAGATTATAGCTACTCTTACATTAGCAGATGAGGTGAAGAAAGTGGGAAATATGACCACTTGTGATGCTTTTTGTCGTTATACATGACCCCATGAGAACGTTTTTAATCAAACATGTGGCCAGATTTTTTGATTTATCAGTCTGGTTGATAAAAAACAAGGCTGAATTTTCTGGTCCACCTTAAACTGTGCAGCAGTTCTGGTGCCTCAATGCGCCTGAATATTACAGCAGAACCATTTAAGGTCAAATGGAAAATTTGAAAAACCTCATTTTGTAAACTGAGGACAGTGGCTGATAGTGAGGCTGGACATAGAGATTGCAGTTGATGCCATGCAGGGTTAACTTCTACAAAGTGAGCATCAGAGGTGAATACATTGATCTGCCATCAGCTCACCTGCTAATACGCTGCATGAATTGTGGAGGGATGCAGAATGAAGCTAGCTAAAAGCTGTTGTTAATGCTAGCTAATGTTACATTCCCAAACAAGGCCCACATCTGCTGTTTTTATCAGACTACTTGTTAATTGTAGTAATGCAGACTTAGCAGGTCAATGCAGTTTAAGCTTTTAATCCTATTTTTTCAGTTAACAATGGATTTTACTTATTTTCTAGTTGACATTTAATATTTACTAATGGAATTGTAATTTTCGATGTTGGAACATTGCTGTGAGGATTTAAATTGTGATATCAAGAATGAAATACTTAATAATTAATTTTTAATTTTCACATGCGAACAGGTTTTCTTGTGATCAAGAGAAATAGAAATAAAGGCTAAAACGGCTTTCCATAGTAATTTTGAACAAAAACATCGGTATAATTTTGAATTGTATGGAAAAAATAGTTATCTTGTTGAAATTGAATTCTTGTTAGAGAAATTGTTACTGTAATTATGATGAACTGGAATAAATGGAATTCTTACAAAAGAGAAATGAAATCTTACGTGCTAAAATATAATTCCTACTATTAAAATATTTATTTTAAGATGTTGTAATTGGATTTGCATATACGTCATTTTCTGACTTCAAAAGTTAAAAGCATCTTTACCAAAAGCTGTCTATTTTTTGTCGGCATTTCTTACCTTAAATTTCTTATCCCAAAATTTGCATGTTATCCACTCTTTGGCAGCCAAAGAGAGCTTCACTTGGCGTGGGTCTTTAATATGTACAATCTCATTTACATGTTGATTTTGGTTGGCTGTTGTCTAGAACATCAGTGAAAATGTTGCAGCATTAAAAAGACTCCAGTACGCTTATCACGGCCATGGTAACTTTATAAATAAGTCTTTTTTTACTGTGCCACACATTTTGCACCGTGAAACGCTGTTACTACCGAGCTTAAGGAATCTAGTCCACTGTGATTGGTTAGAGGGCTCATTTGCATATTCCACCCTTCACTACTATCAGTAATACAAAGGCCAACAAACAACTGTTAAGCCCCGTCAAATACTCCAAATTGTTCCAACACAAACACCTTTGATGTTTTCCAAAGTGCTTTATAATGTTGATTTTGAGTTGCACGCTAGAGCTGAGGTCACCATGTAAATGCTAGTAAATGACATTTGAGGGTGCGTATGTGCTGTGCTGGTGCACGATGATATCACTAAAGCTGCTAAAGACGGACACCCAGGCATCTCCACGTTAACTGAGCACAAGCTGCCCTGAGGGCACCAGCATGCTCTCGATGTATTATTTAACCTTTTCATCAACATTTCACACGTTTCATTTTGCTCTCGCTGGGTGTAGATGGCTAATCCAGCCGCTAGAAGGACAGATAGAGCGGTTTATTTAAAGCCGTGATTATTGTCATTGTCTCTCATGGGATTTAATTAATGCTGTCACACAAACACACACACTCTTCAGCTAAATCCGAGAATATCTGTGTGTGTACACATGCACCCGCGTACTCACACCGAAGTGTTGGGGTTAAATCACGGTGTCACAGATGCCCCCATCCTTTCACACCTCTCCTGTGCTGCTAATGAATGCTGTTTGACACGCGGACCCAGTTAACCACACTAGTCTGCACATCCTCCTCCTCGAATCACACGCTAAACCCCTGAAGTTTTACAGGTCAGATCCATTAGAACGGTCTGCCCCAGGCCTCATCGTTTCACGCTATTCCATTTCTGCATTTATCTCCAGTAATAACACAGCAATTTGGACTGCAAGGCAGTAGTTTTTGTGCCACCTTGCCTTCTTCTGAAATTTTAATTTTCTTGCTATTTCTTTGCCTCCATTAAATTGTTCATCCAGCTCGCCCCCCCATTTGCTGCAGTAACAGCCTCAACTCTTCTGGGAAGTTTTTACTCTAGATGTTGGAACATTGCTGTGAGGATTTGATTGTATTTGGCTATAAGAGCATTGGTTATTGGATGGAGCTCCATCACTCCAGAGAACACAGTTCAAATGCTCCACATCCCTATGCTGGGGGCTTTAGACCCCTCAAACCGATGCTTGCCACTGGGCATGGTGACCTTAGGCTCATGTACTGTTGCTCCATAGCGTCCTTTTTGATTGGCAGTTCTTTTCTATTCAGGTTAAACAAATCTGTATGTACACAATTGGACAACTGTTTCAGCAATGCGTGTACCTTAAAGTTGCTGAATTCAGTGATTAATAAAGGGAGTGTCTGGATATTTTTGGACACAGTGTTTTGCTAATACTTTGGGTAAATTTTTCAACAGTCAGATTTATGTTCATCACAATGTCTTTCTTGGTTTGAAGAGAAGGTTTTACCTAGCTCAGGGGTCGGCAACCCAAATGTTAAGAAAAACTATTTTATCCTTTCAACAAAAATCAAACCCCCTTGGAAGCCACAAATGAACGAATTTTATGTCCATTTTACCATATTGGCTGTGAATATGTTTCAGTATATGCTAATGTAGTAGTATAGGCTAAAAAACATAAATTATAAAGAAAAACACAGGCTTACTTTGTTCTGCTTTAAGCTTTAGCTCAGCTATAGCTGCTTTTCTCACATCTCCGGCAGGAAACCTTTCTGTGAAAGTGGAATAGTTTCTTGTAAAATGTCTCTCAACTTTCAATTTTTGAATGAGGCTGAAGTCAGATTCTCATTCACCAGCTTCTTGTTGAATTTTCCTGTTTCACCTTAAATGGTAACCGCGCCAGAATGTTGCTGCAGCACCATTTAAGGTGGAACGGGAAAATTCGAACAAGAAACTAACTGACTGAAGTTTCACGACTTTTTAGTGTTTGACAGTTTCTCTTTGCAGATTAAACGTATCAGGAAACCAACTGGAGTGATTGTAAATGCAAATTAGTTCATTTGTCTCCAAATTATCGATGGTCATCTTTAATCTAGCTAGGCGAGACTGCAGCCTGCATTGCTATGGTGCCAAAAAGTCTGCATGCCAGTCTTCAAGGCCAAAGGGTGAATTAGCGGTTACATATATTATATGTTATATATTTATTGTTAAAACTGTGTTAGAACGATCAGCAGAGCTTTATTTTACTGCAAAGGATTATTTTATTTCACCTAAAAATCTGATTCTGCTGTGGAGCCGCAACAGGGCAGTAAAAGAGCCACATGCGGGTCTGGAGACTGCATGTTGCGACTTCGGACCTAACTAATGCGTGGTAAAAAAAAAACAATGGCATTTTTTACAATTACTTTTTTCCTGAAAGTTTAAAGACCTTTAAAGAAAGATGTTGCTGACGTCACAACAAGGGAATAAAATGTGCAGTGCTTGGTATTATTCCCAAGGTAGTACTGTCGCAAATTTTGTCACAAATATTTACTTGTTTTCCTTAAATTAAACCCAGTTAGTCTTGAATATGTACAAGACCCTGTGTTGTTCATTTTCCTTGAATTTTATTTTTTGCTTTTATGTTTGAGTGAAACAGGCTATTTCTGTTACTGTGCCTTCAAGATTGATATATGCAAATGATCTCTGTTCTGATTGGCTCCCTGATTTGTGCCTCATTCAATGAACAGTCTGGACTGAAAAATTACTAATAACTTCATTGTGAATGGTTGGAGGTAAACTGCTGTAGGCTGAGTGGTGGTGGATATATATATATGCACTGTGATGTCAAATCAAATAATGCCATTCACACTGGTGTTTACAGATTCTTCTTTTTTTGTGTCTTATAGACTACCAAACTTTTCCTTCCTTGAGAACCCAGAGGAAGCTCCAGAATGTCGTATGGATCTATTGATGGTGGCTCCTTTGGCAGCAGAAACCCATTTGGTGGGCCCACAAGGCAGGGCTACCAGCCAGTAGGTAAAGACCAATTTACCTCCCTACTCAAACAGTGTAATCCAACCACGCTGAATGTCTTCAGAACATGAGCTCATGCCATACTATTTATCATCATGTATTGTTCACCAAAATACCATAAATCATTTGACAAAGACAAAGAGCGATTCCCCCCTCATTTGCAAAAAGGCACTGCACAGTGTTTGTTCTCCATAAATCATTATGCAACTAATCAGCCATATGGCTTATTTTAACAAAGGTCTGCTTCAGCAGATTCAAACATATTTAGTAACTATATGACTTGCTTTTATACACACTGTGACATTACGAATTTATATGCTTCAGTGGTGGTATGAAGTCATAGCGGAATGCTAAATAAGTCCACCTGTGATTTTAATGTTTCATTCTATTAATTGTGCTTTAAAATCAGTCCGTGTAGGTAAACCCGAGACTTTCACACTCCAGCAGACAGTGTAACGATGCTCAGCGCTGGAGAGAGTTATGCAGTAGAGAGTTATCTACTGTAGATTGACCATTATGTTGTGTTTGTTACCTTGCAGTAACATTTTGACGTGATTGTGACTTGACTGGCAATTTTGTTGGATGTTCTGCATCATGGCCATGTAAAATAGGCGGTCAAGCTGTCTTGTTTGCTGATATAATACTCCTTTAACGTCAGGGCTCGAACTGAGGGGGGATGCAAGGGGGTGACATCCTCCCAGGCAGAAGAATGACAAAACACATCCTATTCCATTTAGAGTAATATGATAATATTTCACCTAAAATGTTGATATTTTAATACTATCCATTTTGAGATTAACAGCTAAGTTGCTTTAGATGTAGAACATGGACCAAAGCCAATAAAAGAGCACAGAGTAAAGCTGTGTGTTCATAGGTCACAGTTGATAACCTGCAATGAGCTCTAATGCCATGACTTTAAGAAAGTCTGACTAAAAGAGGAGAAATATCTGAAAATATTTTAGAAATTAAATATAAGAGAGTAAAATTAAAAACATTAAGTATACTTAGAGTTTATGACTACCATCATGTTTGATTTTTTTTTACCAATTCAGCCACTGCTTATCATCATTAAATGAAGTGAGTGGTTCAGTCAGCAGCTGGAGTAGCTGAATGTGTAAATTGCACTATAATGCCTGGAATTATTGAGGCCTATCTCACAGTCTAAATTTGAAAAGATTTTTTTTCATACAGAGTATTAAGCACCTTTTCAAGCTCACTGAAAACTAAATTCAGTAAACATAAAATAAAGAATAAGATCATTTCATTAACAGGTTGTAATGTGCTTCGTCTTAGTCACAGGGATGGGAGGCTTACTTTGCAGGTTACTCTTTACCTGTTAAAAAACGTAATTAAAAACTAATTCAAAGGATTGTGATATTATAAATTAGATTACTTTCCGTTACTTTTCGATTATGTGTCTTTTTAAAGTCATGTAATTAAATAAAGACAAGGAAAAAACTATATCAACAAAATGTATTTAACTGAACACAAGGCTAACAGGACAAATACACAGTTTTATGAAGCTAAATGGTGTATTATAAATAATAGATCAATTGTTTATGCTTTATTCCAAAGTCAAAATGTCAGTTTGGTAGAAATCTTTCTGAGACCCCTTATCAAGTATGATTATGAATAAAGACCATTCTGAAACGTCTAACTTGCCATCATATGTTTTCTATCTGATAAAAGGCTTGACTGGCTCATAATGCTTTATATTGCTTTGATGATGTAATTTGTAGATGCTCCCTTATTAGCTCTCAGCGGTTTTGGTCCGCAGAAATCTCCTACGAGTTTTAAAAGGCATGCACTTCACATGAAAACAAAAAGTGAGTGCAGATTTACATATATTCCTTTACTACCCAGCCCTGGTCATATGTGAGGATAAATACACTGACATGCAAAAAGTCATGGGACAGGAACCAGTGTTGTGTAGGACCCCCTCTAGTCCAGCAAAGTGCAGCAACTCGTCGTGGCATCGATTCCGCAAGTGGACAGAAGACGTCTGGAGGGATGTTGAGCCATGCTGTCTGGATAATCACACATAGCTCCATGTTATTTGTAGGTGTAGGATCTCGGGTGTGAATGGACCTCTCCACCACATCCCATAAATGCTCGATTGGGCTCGATGTTGGGCGAACGTGCAGGGCACACCATTCGTTGGAACTCTCCAGAATGCTCTTTAAACTAATTCTGGACAACTTGGGCTGATGGCCCGGTGCATTATTCTGCTGGAGCATCCCATCACTGTGGGGGTACATGAAGTTCATGAAGGGCTGCAAATGGTCACCAAGCAGTGAAATGTAGTGTTTAGGTGGACCAGTGGACCCAACCCATGCCATGAGAACACACCCCACACCAATATGGAACCACCACCAGTGTCCACAGTGCCTTGTTGACAACTGGGGTCCATGGCTTCATGAGGTCTGCACCACACACAAACCCTACCATCAGCCTGAAACAATTGGTACCGTGACTCATTGGACCACGCCTAATGTTGACAGTCCTCCAGGGTCCAGTTAGCAACCTCACAAGCCCAGGTGAGAGGCTGTGTCCGGTGTCCTGGTGTTAACAGAGGCACTCTGGTGGGTCTTCTGCTCCCATGGAAGCTAAAGAACGCTGCGCTGACTTGCAGGGATGTGCGTGGGGGGCCTCCTGCATTGAATGTGGATGTGATTTCTGCCAGAGTTGCTTGTCTGTTTGCATAGACAGTTCTAGCCAGACGCTGCGCCGTCCACTGTGGGTGGTAATGCCTTCTATGACATTTTCCTGGTACACATGTGACACTGTGGATTGAGGAATGTTAAATGCCTGCACAATTTTGGAAATGGAATGTCCCATTAATCTGGCACCCACTATCATGCCTCGGTTGAACTCCAAAAATTTACATCACCTTGCCACTGTTTGACCTCACAATTTATACAGATGTGGGCATTCTCAAGCCATCCCCTGATGTAATGCCCCTTTTATAATCAATTTACTGTTGTCCCATGACTTACGACACGTCAGTCGACTTACGACTTCTCCATTGAAGTAAATACAAGTAGCTTCCCAAAGAGATGAACAGTTCAGTTAACATTCCAACACCATGTAATGCTACTGCATTTAATAAAATGTTAAAAACCACAAACTTCTGTATCCTACTTCTGAGAAGATACAGCACTGCTTATTAAAGATAACTGATCTGTCCTCAATATACCAACAGTCGCAAAATTTTATGTCGAGTAAGAAAATGCCAGGCATAAATCTGAGTTGTGGAAGCTCAAGCTGTCTGAGCTGCCTACTGACACGTACAGTATGCCCTCTAGTCCATTGATACTGCAGACAAGAACACTAAACAGCAGCATGTAATTTATTATAACACTATTTATTTAATAAACAGAATTAACAATTTAACTGTTCTGACTACATCAAAAATGCAAAGACTACAAATGATTTGGCATATAAATACACATTTATTGAAACCTAGACACCACTTGACCACCAATAGTGAGGGAACCATTCAAGATTTTCTTTTTTGCACTAAACTAAAACTGCTGTGTAAGTGTATGCATAATCACACTGCCCATGGTATACATAGACATGCTTTAGCTTCACAGTAAATGGACACTATTGCTAAGGGGAGCTTCTCACCCCATTTTGCCCCATTATAAATACATCTGACTTACACATAAAGCATTTAAAGATGCTTTAGGTTAAACCTTTTGAGCATTTTTGAGCATGGAATAGTATCTTAGTTTAAAATAATTCTTCATTAAAAGTAATAAGGTGTAAAAAAATGTCTTTCTCTGACAAAAAAGTTGACAGCTTTCTTGATTTGCACTAATTTGCCTGAATGCGCAGAAACTCAGCGGAAGAAAGATGATGCTTCTGTGTTCTCCCAACTCAGTGTTAATGACGAGGCTCATTTGCACTGCCACGTGCAAATTCCATGAAATGAACACGCATTTACGATTGACATCAGCCGGTTATGATAAAGCACATAGAAGTCCGTATACATGCTTTGTGGGTGTTTCGCAAAAAACATGTAGCATGATTTTTTTTTTCATATTTTGGGAACTGCAGTTACCCTTTGACTTGTGTTAAACTTTCATGATGAACTCACCAATAGAAATGGTCCTAAATTACTTGGAAAACATTTAGTTACGTTAAGCTTCATTAACTAAAGTTAAATAATGTTTTTTTTCCTTCTCCTATAAAGTTATTGTGGAGATACAAGGTTTTGTTGCGACAGTGGTGATATGTGTGTATGTGTGTGTAGAGTTTTAGGGATGGAGGGCAAAATCTGTGCTGTTTTCAGGGGATAGATATATGATGATTTTGTCAGTATTTGTTGATGGATGGAAACCCTTTGGACAGTGCCATATTAAATTAGAGCTAAACGCCAAGAGCCAAAATCATATTACTGTCGAAAAAAAAAGCTCCCAGAACTCCCACATTGAAATGTGTAATGCAAATATTTATCAAACTTTACAAAACATGACCCAGGAAAAAAAGCACACATGAGACATCATCCTCAGAGAGTAAATGACTGGGCATGCTAGAGGGAGAGAGAGCGAGTGTGAGTGAGAAAGAGAGAGAGAGAGAGAGAGAGAGATTAGGTCTGAGTTGAGGTAGAGCTCTTGGCTGCTGCCTGTCCCAGAGGAGCGCAGAGCGAGTGCTGCAGCTCCAGTCATTAGAGACAGCTCTTTGATCACAGGCGGACCTGCGCTCAGGAGCCTGTCAGCTTTCGCGGTGTATCGGCGCTCGCGCGTCAGCCCGGCTGAAGAGGGGCTCAGGCAATGATCAAAGCTGAGGTTAAGTCTCTAATGGAGTTGTCAGTTGAGCTAATCTTTCTCCTCCTCCCTCCTGCCAAACCTTTCAGCTTCTTCCAGCATATGCATTCTCATTCTCTCTCTCTCTCTCTCTCTCTCTCTGTCTCTCTCTCTGTCTCTCTCTCCTACTCTCACTCCATTCAAAGTGCTTTCTTTTTGTATCTCCCATTTGCCTTTGTTCCCCTTTTTCTT